AAGTTATACATAAGCAAAAAGGATTTTTTTTTGCTTATAACTTTTGAAGAAGTTATAAGCTTTCTTTAATTTAAGGCAAAAAGTTATATTAACATATTTGTAGGCAAAGCAATTTTCTACAAATTATGACTGTACAATTTTTTTGTACGACGCATAGTTTCCGAGACATGCACGCGGGCAACCGTAGCACAGGGGCCACGCTGCGCGGGCCCCCTGTGCTACGGTTGCCGCATGCCCCGCAACCCAGGCCGTGGGGGGCCCGCGCAGGCTGGGGCCCGGCTGGCAAATGCCACCCCGACTGTATGGCCAGTCCGACGCTGAAGAGTGTCATAATCCAAAGCATGAAATCGTCAAATCGTCGTTTCTTATCGGCAGACAGGTTTGTTAAGCCCTTTATTATACAATCTTTACTTTTCTTGAGTGCCAAACTGGCATTTGTAAAACTATGATTGCTAAGTATGTACAAATAAAATGTGTGCAATCTAGAAAACCAAAATACAATAGGTACAAAAATGTATTTACCTACTAACTGCCCAAGACATGTCAAGGTGCATGTTTGTGCACGCCGACTCAGTCTGGACTCTGGGGATCATACGAAATCGCAAATCTATATGCTTTTGTAATGCTCTTGACCTAGATTGGCTAACATCAGGCATTCTTTATTGTTGAAATGACTGTGTTTATAAATCTTACGTTAGATGTGGTGGGCGTGTAAAAAACAACTCACAATTGGTTCAGTTTAAAACAATTGCAATAAATTGGTTTCTTGATAGCTGCAAGAATGGATAATGTTTGAATGCAAATGTCTAATGTAATATTAAATTCTATCTACTAAATTTGACATTGTTAATTATTATTGTGACATTTAATTTAATTCTTTTGTATAATTTCTTGAATCACGAAAAATTGATTCTGTTGCATGCCGATATGGTATGATGTAGCTGAACAATATATTTTTTTATGTGACCTATAATATGTACCTACATTATGCAATAAATGATTTTGATTTGATTTGATTTGATTTGATTTGATTTGATCTAAAAATGCGCTCATTTGCGTTTTGAAATTGGTTGCATTAAACATTTCGCGTTTACGATATTTACTATTTGTATGTAGGCGATAGCTGCGACCTCATTCCAGCCATCCGTCGCCCTATTTAAGCTCCCTTTACAAAGATATTGGGGGCGGAGCGAGTTAGTATTCTATTCAAAAAGTTTATTTTTTAATTTTGCTATAAGACCTATACAAAACGAGGTAAGTAACTAAGTGTAAGTTAAAATTATAACACAAATACCATCAAGAGTTGTGTCTCAAAACGATTAGTAATAAGAGTAGTAGAGCATCAATGTTTTTGTTTATTTGGGCCGAGTCATAGGTATTTTACCAATATGAATAAACCTTATTTGTATCCATTATCTAGTGTCCTCAATACAATTTTCGTTTTATTTTCAAACATAGTAATGTAGTAGTTTTCTTATGCTTCAGCCACACCAACGCGTGCAGATCGCCGGCGCGTTCATAGGCCAATGACAGGTCGCGCGACCCATGACAGTCCACGCGACTTGGTGTGTTTGAAGCTTAATTCCTATCTTTGAAGTGGGAAAAATAGCGTAGTTTCTCGAATGTTCCAGAGTGATCCTATCAGCATGCAGCCCGTACTTCCGCGCGATGTTCACGGGCGAGCTGGCGGAGTCGCGCGCCACCGAGGTCACCATCCGCGACGTCGACGAGCAGGCCATGGAGCAGCTCGTCGAGTTCTGCTACACCGCGCACATCGTCGTCGAGGAGAGCAACGTGCAGGTGAGCCGGACTGCAGACAGAGGCCGGGGCACACGTCACGAGCAGGCCATGGAGCAGCTCGTCGAGTTCTGCTACACCGCGCACATCGTCGTCGAGGAGAGCAACGTGCAGGTGAGCCGGACTGCAGACAGGCCGGGGCACATCGTGACGTCACGAGCAGGCCATGGAGCAGCTCGTCGAGTTCTGCTACACCGCGCACATCGTCGTCGAGGAGAGCAACGTGCAGGTGAGCCGGACTGCAGACAGAGGCCGGGGCACATCGTGACGTCACGAGCAGGCCATGGAGCAGCTCGTCGAGTTCTGCTACACCGCGCACATCGTCGTCGAGGAGAGCAACGTGCAGGTGAGCGGTGGTCACTGATAGGCTGACAGGGACAGGGGTAGAAGTAGTAATCGCGTCACGTGTGTGATATGAACAAAATGTCTTCTAAGGCCGCGTATCTACTAGAGGCAGCCTTGGGCCGAGCGGCTGCCTCGTTCCGATGCAGAGCAAGTGGGGACGCTGCCTCAATCTGCGGCACGCCGCGTTGAGGTTGAGGCAGATTCGTCGCTGGCGAGGCAGCAGCTCGACCCGAGACTGCCTCTGGTGGATTCGTCGTCTAACAGGCGGATAACTGGTCCAGATCTCCAACATTACTCCAAAGAAGTACACAGTTTAATGTCGTCACAACATGGTGTCATAGAGCCGTAATAACGCTTGTTAGGAATATCAGTTGAAACACTTCTCGCTGTAAAGCGACTGAGTTTCTTGCGCTGCTTCTCCCAGCATTAGCTCATTTAGTGTCCTGAAGCAATGGTAGAGTTGAGCTGGGTCGTGAAAAGTGCTTTTTAAAAGCCTACTTGCATAAATAAATTAGTTTTATGAGTTTTAGTTTTTAAAATAAGTCTAACATACACTTGTTTGTTATGCAATGAACCCTAAGTAAAACTGTCAGCTAAAGACCCCACCGTACCCCCCAGGCGCTCCTCCCGGCGGCGTGCCTGCTCCAGCTGCAGGAGATCCAGGACGTGTGCTGCGAGTTCCTGAAGCGGCAGCTGGACTGCAGCAACTGCCTCGGCATCCGCGCCTTCGCCGACACGCACTCGTGCCGCGAACTCCTGCGCATCGCAGACAAGTTCACGCAACAGAACTTCCCTGAAGTGAGTTGACTGGTTGTAGTTATTGGTGGTTCTTCTTTTCGTGTCGACAACAAACCTACACAGTGTCAGCCCAAAACTCCGCCACAAGAGTTGTCAGTAGCACCACAGAATAATAATAAGTACTACGTACAGAAGTTTTACTTCGCGGAGGTATTTAAAAAAATGTATGCTCAATGTCATTAACAATATGGTGTAATTTAGCCTGTCTCAAGAGTCAAGCACCATTTTGTTGACAAACGTCAGTGATCGGCACTGCGCCGAAGCTATAGAGCTGACTTCGGTAAAATAATGTGACGTGAGGTGCCAAACTGCGGAAAATGGCGGAGGAAATACATGATTTAGCATGAATTATCATGAATAATATTAACTACTTATTTACCTCTCAGTGTCTTGAGGCAACTTAAAAAAGTACATTCTGTGTTTTTATTATTATTTAGGCAGTTAAATACGGCACAGTATTTAGTACACCATTTCCTCTATTTTCTTCCATCATACACAAGAATAGGTACGCGTGCGTGAGTCAATGTTCGCTCGTATGTGAGGCCTTGTCGAATAGTATCCTGTAGGTGGGCCATCGTGCGTGTTTTGTTTTCGATGTAAACTCGCGGAGATGAACAGGCCTGGTAGCACTCATCAAATCCTCTTGAGTGCAGTTGCTTGGGCACTCAGGGCACGACATCAGGTGCTTCATCGACTGGGGTACAAAACCGCACCTGCACTCCGTTCTTGCATTCTTGGATGGCTTAAACATGGAGTTATTGGTGGTTAATTTAACGCAATTAATTCTGTTCTTTTTTTTAACGAAATGGAATGGAATGAATGAAGTGTGAGAATGAAGCTGAAGGTTTATTGAACATGTTAGTTTACATCAACAAAAAATTCACTAAACACGCAGTAAAATCCAAATTAAGAATCTGCAACAATCTGAAACATGTCTGGAAAAGTGCAAACGCGCTTGGAATCTGTTTTATTTAACACACATTTCAAATCAGTTGAATTATTGTGTTTCCTATTAGACTCAAATGACATGTTGTGTCATGCAATAAACGTTTTGAATTTGAATTTGAAGCTCAAAGGTAACCCAAAGTTGCTGTTTTGTAAAATTCGTGTTTTCCCGTGTGTTTTATCCTAACTGCTGCTATTTAAAAATAATAATGTACCGACTGTATAACTAGTTTTTTTTAAAATTCTAATCATGATGATGTTGTCAAATAGCACATCAGCAAGCCAATAGGGGAGACCGAGGTGACTGGTAACAGAGGAGAGTTGTGACACTGTCGATTTTTTGGAACTATTAACTACTAGCGAGCTCGTAGCAGTGCGTGTTTTTGATTCAAATCTTGAGCTAACAAATGCGCGCTGTTGCAACCTCGCTGATAGTTAATAAGTTTAAAAAGTCGACAATGTCACAACTCTCCTCGGTCTCCCCTATCTGTAAACGTACTTGTAAGATTTTGTTAACTAAATTCTTAACAAACATTGTGGTCAGGTAATGGAAAGCGAAGAGTTCCTCTTACTGCCGGCGGCGCAGCTGATCGACATCGTGTCGTCCGACGAACTCAACGTGCGCTCCGAGGAGCAGACCTTCCAGGCCGTCATGTCCTGGGTCAAGTACAACGTGGCCGAGCGCCGCCAGCACTTAGCACAGGTACCGTCCGCTTAGCACAGGTAGCAACCACTTAGCTCAACGTGCGCTCCGAGGAGCAGACATCCAGGCCGTCATGTCCTGGGTCAAGTACAACGTGGCCGAGCGCCGCCAGCACTTAGCACAGGTACCGTCCGCTTAGCACAGGTAGCAACCACTTAGCTCAACGTGCGCTCCGAGGAGCAGACATCCAGGCCGTCATGTCCTGGGTCAAGTACAACGTGGCCGAGCGCTGTCAGTATTTAGTACAGGTACTTCATCTACTTAGCACAAATACCCCTCCACTTAGCACAAGTACCCAATGTACCCATCCACTTAGCAGTCAGCACAGGTATTCATTCTCTTAGAAAAGGTACCCCTCTTCTTACTACAGGTACTCCTACGTAATAGCATATGTACCATCAACTAGCACAAGGACACCTCTACTTACAAGTTAACGCAGCTATCACTACGATTAGCACAGGTATTACTTAACACAGGCATGCACAAAGTGAGGGACATTTAGCACAGTTATATCACTTGCAATCTTGCGCCACTGTAGAGTAAGGTCCTGTCACTTGCTAGTAGCAAAGACAGTGGCACCAACTGGTGAGCGCGAAAGTGGTAGGAGGACTATCGCATTTGCACTCATCAAGATGGCGCCACTGTAGAGTAGGGTCCTGTCAATCGCCAGGGGTGCCAACTGTTAAGTAAGATACGATGATGAAACATTATGAAACATTGTTTATGAACAGTTTATAAACAGTTTTTATCAACAAATGTTGCCTAATGAATACATGGCTTAAATCGTCCTACATCGTTTCCAGGTCCTCCAACACGTGCGGCTGCCGCTGCTCAGCCCGAAGTTCTTAGTGGGCACGGTGTCGTCCGAGCTGCTGATCCGCTCGGACGACGCGTGCCGCGACCTGCTGGACGAGGCCAAGAACTACCTGCTGCTGCCGCAGGAGCGGCCGCTCATGCAGGGCCCGCGCACGCGCCCGCGGAAACCCACACGGCGAGGTAGTTGTTGACACGCATAATTTATGCAACTCCTTTTATCTTGAAGTGCTCTATGTCGCCTAAAGCACAGATTCTAAAGCCTGGTCCGGGACTATTCCCACCTCTCGTTCCCACCACTGCAACTCCTGTGTAGCCAGGATCTACAGCTTGACCGCCACAAAAACCCAACCAATGAAGGTCAAGTTTGTCCCGGGGGAAAGTTAAACTGTCATTGGACCCGCAACGAAATTAATCAGAAGAACATAGGAGGAGTTTGAAATTAAGGTTCGACTTCCCTCCATTGCAAAGCGGATGACAGGTGACAAACAAAGGTTTAAGTGGCAATGGGCAGGGCACATAGTGCGCAGAACTGACGGCCGATGGGGCAGCAAGGTTCTGGAATGGATGCCGCGTACCGGAAGGCGCAGCGTGGGACGTCCACCTACAAGGTGGACCGACGACATCGTAAAAGTAGCAGGGAAGCGCTGGACGCAGGCCGCTACCAATCGATCAACGTGGAAAGCATTAGGGGAGGCCTATGTTCAGCAGTGGATGTCCTATGGCTGACATGATGATGATGATGATGATGATGATGATGATAATTTATACGACTCCTATTATCTTGAGATGCTCTATGTCGCCTGAAGCACAGATACTAGCAAAGCGGAGATGTGTGGACGCTAATAATGCTGCTGGTTGCGGTTTCTATGTTGCCTGATGCCCAGATTCTAGCAAAGCGGAGATGTGTGGACGTGAGATGTGTTTTCAAGTAAAATATCTACTGAAGATGCGCACTGATTATATTTGGGTGTAGTCCCCTAGCCAGGGTGGAAAAATCCCACCACCACTCATGGTTCTTCCTGCCTCAAGCGTACGAACCGAACCTCGGGAGAGCGCGCGGGTACTTGCTCTGGGCTCTTTTCCCCTGGCGCTTTGCTTGACTCTCTACAAGTTTCTCTGTTCCATGTCCCTTTTCATAGTCAATTTTCCCCCCTCAGGGGCTTGAAATGGGGGCCATCCAGGTAGGGACAACAAGATTGCACCCTAGATTGTAGTAGAGATGTGTTCTGCTCACGGCATGCCGCTCATATCTTCGCGTCTAATGCGCGTCGGCGTCAACTTGCTAGGCATTAGATTATTGACCTGTAAAGATAGTTTAAGTTGGTGAAAATAAATAAATAAAACTATCTCGTAATAATCGTAAAATCTCAATATAATACACTATCTTCGCTGAGTATCAACTTGACTGAGTAGACAAGAGATGAGTATAAAATAATAATTGCTATTGGCCGTTCAACATTTCCACTCTGTTTGTCTCTTCTCTGCTTTGGTGGAGTCCGGTGCTAACAGGGACACATTCTAATTCACCTATTATAAATGTATTACATAACTGTTTACAGGCGAAGTGTTATTCGCCGTCGGCGGCTGGTGTTCTGGAGACGCGATTGCGTCTGTCGAGCGATTTGATCCACAAACTGCTGAATGGAAGATGGTGGCGCCCATGTCTAAGCGGCGATGTGGCGTGGGCGTAGCGGTTTTACATGACTTGCTGTATGCCGTAGGCGGCCATGATGGCCAGAGCTACCTCAACAGCATCGAGCGATACGACCCGCAAACTAACCAGGTCAGTGTCCTGAATGTCAGTATTAAAGTCTTGGAAGCCACGATAGCCGAACGGTGAAGGGGTCGGACTGGTTCACTCGTGATCCGGGGAACGCGGGTTCGAATCTCGCCGCTGTTCGACTATTGTGCTGAGCCCACCCAGCTTAGTAAGGCCAGGCTTGTTCATCTCCACGAGTTTACATCGAAAACTAAACACGCACGATGGCCCACCTACAGGATACTATTCGACAAGGCCTCACATACGAGCGAACATTGACATACGCACGCGTATTCTTGTGTATGACGGAAGAAAATAAAGAAAATGGTGTACTAAATACTGTGCAGTATTTAACTGCCTAAATAATAATAAAAACAGAATGTACTTTTTTAAGTTGCCTCAAGACACTGAGAGGTAAATAAGTAGTTAATATTATTCATGATAATTCATGCTAAATCCAGCTAAATCATGTATTTCCTCCGCCCATTTTCCGCAGTTTGGCACCTCACGTCACATCATTTTACCGAAGTCAGCCCTATAGCTTCGGCGCAGTGACGTTTGTCAACAAAATGGTGCTCGACTCTTGAGACAGGCTAAATTACACCATATTGTTAATGACATTGAGCATAATTTTTTTTTAAATACCTTCGCGAAGGAAAACTTCTGTACGTAGTACTTATTATTATTCTGTGGTAAGGCTAAGAATTCATGGCGCGATTTTCACCCGCGCCCGCGGCGGTTGCGGGTCCGCAGCTTCTGTAGAATGCTGATACTTATGTAAAAACTAATGCACAACTCACGACGCGGTTTGTGTCCGCAGTGTGCGCGGTTGTATGCGGGTCCCGCGGCACCGGCGGGCGACTAGTAGAACCGCGCGGGCCGCGGTAACCGCAGCTTCGGCGGTTTTCGCCCGCGCGCTCTGCGATCGACCATTTTGTACCAGTGACTTAGCGAGACGTGGTTTTTACCCGCAGCCGCCGCGGGCGCTGGTGAAAATCGCGCCGTGAATTCTTAGAATAACCGCGCAAATAACCGCACCCGTGAGTTTTGAAATAAAACCGCAATTCCACAACTGTTGCGTGAGTTCTTAGCCTAAGAGGGGCTAACGGGACTGAGTATACGAGTAATTTGTGCAATAAGTACGTAACAAGTAGTTGGTACATATTGGTAAAAGACAGTTGGTACCTACTGCGCCGGATATTTGAACTTATTTTGAAGTTTGGTTTAATTGGATGCCAGTGAAAACGTCAAAAATTACAAATCGCTGAGTTGCGATCCTATCGAGTTATCGTTCTATTGAAAGGACACGTGAATACGGATTTAAGACTGTTTTTCAATAGGACGATTTCTAAACGTCAACGACGTTGACTGTTACAAAATACGTGAATTGATCTAAAGGTCGCTGTCGCGTTGCAGTCTCGTCGCTGCCGCATCACATCACCTTTTTTTTTAAATAAAATGTTTCTATTGTCCAGTGGTGCGGCGCGGTGGCGCCGACGTCGTCGTGCCGCACGTCGGTGGGCGTGGCGGTGCTTGAAGGCGCGCTGTACGCGGTGGGCGGCCAGGACGGCGTGCAGTGCCTCAACCACGTCGAGCGCTACGACCCCAAGGAGAACCGCTGGACCAAGGTACAAAGAGTCATGATACATGTTTAGGCCCGATTCCCATGTCAACTAATGTTAGTCATGGTCACGTTAATCAAAATCATGGCAAAGTTTTGGGTGGTTATCTCCAAAATTAAGGAACCTACGCTACAGGTAATGGATGAGTGACCATTCCAAAAGACAATGCCGGAAATTGGCGTCTTTTTTTTTTCGCGCGGCCATCGACCAAACTTTGTTTTTTGATTACAAAATAGTGTAATAAACCAAACTTACTATGACATGTATACCTCTAAACTCAGTCTGAACTGAGTTACGAGCATTAGAAGTTTGATGATTTTCATACTATATTTGCTTTTTGCGCGCAAAGTTTTGTAAGAAATTGCAACAAAATAGTGAGATTGTATGTGTAAACAAACAATACCATCCATTAAAGGCTCCAGACATCAGTATGGAGCAGAATCAGCGCAATAAAAAAATAGCGCAATATTTTGTTGCAATTTCTTACAAAACTTGCGCACAAAAAGCAAATCTAGTATGAAAATCATCAAACTTCTAATGCTCGTAACTCAGTTCAGACTGAGTTTAGAGGTATACATGCCATAGTAAGTTTGGTTTATTACACTATTTTGTAATCAAAAAACAAAGTTTCGTCGATGGCCGCGCGAAAAAAAAAAGACGCCACTTTCCATACAAAATCTGGCATTGCCATTTAGTGGTATTTATCACAAGCACCTCCGAGTTTCAGAAGGTACATTAAAAGTGAGTCTTGTCTTTTCTTATTTTATATAAGTCATTAAATCTTGGCAAAAGCCATGAGGTGGTTTGAAAATATCTGAAATTCAAGTTGGTCACTTGATTTACACTAACCCACCCCTCCAACAATTTGTACTGAACCCATGTAATGAAGTATGGCTTGAGTCATCTCCCAGTTAGAGTTCGGAAGCTGTTTAGTAACGAATGATAATGCCTTCTAAAGATATAGAAATGCAGTTACAGTGCAGAAACATGGCCGCTGACGTCTGTCGTTTGAGAGATACGATTCAGATTCAGCTGCGCGCGTATCCGGCGCTGGGGATGTAGTACGTGGCGCAAACGGCTAGGGTGCCGTGCAACAGGACGTATATTATGTAGAGCATTGGTTCCCAATCTTATTTGAGACGCGCCCCCTTTCGACCACACAAAAAATTCCGTGCCCTTCTGTCTTGACTGGAGGAGGGCCTCCAGTCAAGATAATTTATTGGTCGTACCGAGTAGTCTGGAATGTATTCTCTCGGCGGCGGTCGCAGGTTTTTTATACTTAAGTTTACAGATGGCCCGGCCCCAGATACCCCCCTTTACCCCTCACTTTGGGAACTAATGATGTAGAGGTTTATTATTTATACTTCACTATGGCAGTAAGCTAATCTCTTTGGTGTTCGCAGGTGGCGGCGATGACGACGCGGCGGCTGGGCGTGGCGGTGGCGGTGCTGGGCGGCCAGCTGTACGCGGTGGGCGGCTCCGACGGACAGGCGCCGCTCAACACCGTCGAGCGCTACGACCCAAGGGCCAACAGGTAAGTCTAGCTTACGATGCTTAGTTCTATATGCGCAATATTTGTCATCATCATCATCAATTCAGCCATAGACGTCCACTGCTGAACATAGGCCTCCCTCAATGATTTCCACAAAAGCCGGTTGGTAGCGGCTCCTGTTACCTTTATGAGGTTGTCGGTCTACCTTATCGGTGGACGTCCTACGCTACGCTTTCCGGTACGTGGCCTCTCCAGAATCTTGCTGCCCCATCGGCCAACAATATTTATCTAAAAACAAAAGTAACCGACAACGGGCGTTCGTTAGTTTCAGCGTTCTGCGCCGCTCTTCGTCCTTTGTCGTGCCGTTTGGGGATGATTGTAAAGAATACTATTCCTTACCGCCATCAGGAGGCATGTCGTAAGAGAACTAATTCCTATAGCACTAGACGGGCAGCAGAAACTACAAAAATGCAATCGCCAACCCGCTTACCAAGCGTGTCGATTAAGGTAAAATCCCCTCCAAAACATAAACATGGCCCCTCCAACATAAATACAGATTAAAAAAAAAATTTTGGACTTTATACCTAAGGCCCAGAACACACGGTGAAACGCAATTGCAACGAAACTGCAACTTCTAGTTACTTTTGAGTTGCATCTAAGTTTCTGCCATAGCTTCCGTTGAGAGACCACACATGACGCGACCATTTCAAACCGGTTTCAAACTGGTCGCGTCATGTGTGGTCTCTAAAACTGACAGAAATGGCAATGCCAGATTTAGTATGGAAGGTGGCGTCTTTTTTTTTCGCGCGGTCATCGACCAAACTTAATTTTTTGATTACAAAATAGTGTAATAAACCAAACTTATTATGACATGTATACCTCTCAACTCAGCCTAAACTGAGTTACGAGCTTTAGAAGTTTGATGATTTTACATACTAGATTTGCTTTTTGCGCGCAAGTTTTGTAAGAAATTGCAACAAAATATTGCACAATTTTTTTATTGCGCTGATTCTGATTCACACTGATGTCTGGAGCCTTTAATGGATGGTATTGATTGTTTACACATACAATCTCACTATTTTGTTGCAATTTCTTACAAAACTTTGCGCGCAAAAAGCAAATCTAGTATGAAAATCATCAAACTTCTAATGCTCGTAACTCAGTTCAGACTGAGTTTAGAGGTATACATGTCATAGTAAGTTTGGTTTATTACACTATTTTGTAATCAAAAAACAAAGTTTGGTCGATAGCCGCGCGAAAAAAAAAGACGCCAATTTCCAGCATTGTCTTTTTTGGCTATGATGATTAACAAAGTGTTTGCCCGCAGATGGACGCCCGTGGCGCCGATGGCCACGCGGCGCAAGCACCTGGGCGCGGCCGTGTTCGACGGACACATCTACGCCGTCGGCGGCCGCGACGACTGCACAGAACTCTCCTCCGCCGAGAGGTAACAACATTATACTTAATGAGGGCTATCGTTTTAGCGCTCACCAGTTTGCGCCACTGTAGAGTAAGGTCCTGTCACTTGCTAGTAGCGAAGACAGTGGCACCAACTGGTGAGCGCTAAAGTGGTAGGAGGACTGTCGCATTTGCACTCATCAAGATGGCGCCACTGTAGAGTAAGGTCCTGTCACTTGCTAGTAGCGAAGACAGTAGCACCAACTGGTGAGCGCTAAAGTGGTAGGAGGACTGTCGCATTTGCACTCATCAAGATGGCGCCACTGTAGAGTAAGGTCCTGTCACTTGCTAGTAGCGAAGACAGTAGCACCAACTGGTGAGCGCTAAAGTGGTAGGAGGACTATCGCATTTGCACTCATCAAGATGGCGCCACTGTAGAGTAAGGTCCTGTCACTTGCTAGTAGCGAAGACAGTAAAACCACAAAATATAACAGAAGACAAACTCCATACTAAACGCGCTCGAGCCACGCACACATAGACACCGCTCTAGCAAGACTGTCTTGGACGAATGCGAGCGCGACGTGGCGCGACAGACGTTCGCCACACGTTCGCTGTGGTTCGCTTGAGTCACGCGCCGGTCAACCGCCTGTGATATTATTTTGTTTTGCGAAATTGACGAAAATGAGTGAACAGAAAAAGTCGTATTATAATTGTTCGGTATTTGGTTGCTTAAACTCATAATTAAATACCGAATTTTCATTTTTTAAACTACCAGTTGATTCGGGGAGGTAAGTAAGTTATTTATTTGAATTTCAATTAAAATTGAAAGCCAACTCAATTATTAGAAATATCGAATTGTTTTAGAGAGGTTTTAGGAATTATTGGATAACTAGCTTTTGCCCGCGGCTTCACCCGCGTGAAATTTAGTTTGTCACAGATCGTCATAAATTATAGCCTATATGTTATTCAGGGTTATAAACAATAATACTGTAAAGTTACATCAAAATCCGTTCAGTAGTTTTTGCGTGAAAGAGCAACAAACATCCAGACATCCAAACTTTCGCATTCATAATATTAAGTTGGATAGTTGGATAATAGTGTCAACCACTCAAGTAAATACTACTTCCTTCTCGTGTATTTGTTTGCAAACTATTACTATAATAACGTACTAAATATAAATAAGTATACGTGGATATCTGTTATTGTCTTTCTTGCATAGTATTAAGAGTAACATTTTTCTATCATAACGAAATAAACGCAACACTTGACAAGACAACCCTAGCGCGACGGCCGAGCGTGCGAGCGAGAGAGGTATGCAAAGCGAGGTACATACATGAGTTTACCTTCTGTTATATTTTGTGGTAGCACCAACTGGTGAGCGCTAAAGTGGTAGGAGGACTGTCGCATTTGCACTCATCAAGATGGCGCCACTGTAGAGTAAGGTCCTGTCACTTGCTAGTAGCGAAGACAGTAGCACCAACTGGTGAGCGCTAAAGTGGTAGGAGGACTGTCGCATTTGCACTCATCAAGATGGCGCCACTGTAGAGTAAGGTCCTGTCACTTGCTAGTAGCGAAGACAGTAGCACCAACTGGTGAGCGCTAAAGTGGTAGGAGGACTGTCGCATTTGCACTCATCAAGATGGCGCCACTGTAGAGTAAGGTCCTGTCACTTGCTAGTAGCGAAGACAGTAGCACCAACTGGTGAGCGCTAAAGTGGTAGGAGGACTATCGCATTTGCACTCATCTAGATGGCGCCACTGTAGAGTAAGGTCCTGTCAATCGCCAGAGGTGCCAACTGTTAAGTATAAAAACTATAGCCCTCATTACATTTTTATTCGACTTCAAAAAAGGAAGGCTATCTTTATTCGATTGTGATTTTCGAGTTGGGCATCTTCCACGTTCATTTGTCGTCTCGCTAGCGCCTACGCAGTTTCAACGTCGATACGGCCGTGACACGGCGCTCCAACTATCTTTAAACTAAATAACGTGACGCCACCGCTGCGTAGATCCGGCGTTCGGCAGCCGCCAGCATTGACTTCACGACAAAGCTGAGTGCGTTTTTTCTGTACTTTAATTTTGAAATCGAAATGTGTTTGATGTGATAAGTTTCCACAAATTATTATAGACGTGGTGATGGATAATGGCGGTTTGCTTACTGTTTGTGCTAGTAGCGCCCCCCTGTGCCGAAGTTTACGTAATATTTCTTATTGAGGATTTTTTTCACTATAAAGACAACGGCACGTCAATCTTAGCAGTGAATCTTATGGAATTGTAACAGGAACTATTTTGCTACAAAAATAATGTGCTGTCTGTACATAGAAGTTTGATTTGCTTAATTATTTGTTGCACAGGTACGAGCCCAGCACAGACACATGGTCGCCAGTGGTGGCGATGACGTCACGGCGGAGTGGCGTCGGGCTAGCGGTGGTCAATGGGCAGCTATATGCGGTGGGCGGCTTCGACGGCACGGCCTACCTCAAGTCTATAGAGGTAAGTGCCGAGACTGCTATCTTGTGTGGCTTTGCAATAAGAGCTGTTTTGCAACGATAAATGTATGATGAACTGTTGACTGTGTTTGCACTGAATACTGTGGCACAGTGTTTTGTTTTAAAGCCTGGTCCGTGGTCCGTAGAATTTTGTCCAATGACCCCAAGCTACCCATCCTTATCGCTCGCGCGTAATTATGTTGCTGTTGCGCTCGCACACTCACTGCAAGCGCGTCGCACAGTCGCGACAGCAATATAATTACGCGCGAGCGATGAGGATGGGTAGCTTGGGGTCATTGGACAAAATTCTACGTGCTCACGGACCAGGCTTTACTATTGTCTTAGGTCCGGTTTCCACAAAGGTGGAGCGGAGCGCTGAAATGTTTTGAATGACCAATCAGATTTCATTTTGTCAATTTCTGAATAAGATCTGATTGGTTCTTCAAAACCTTTTTCATCAAACCTCAAGCGGTCGCATAAGATTGCGTACAATTGATTTTTATTGTGTCTCGATTTGCGGGGCTTGAAGGGCTAAAATATTTGTCACTGATTTAAAACAGCGTTTTTTAAAGGTTGAGCTTTATATGCCAAATCATTTAACTACCAAACTGGTATGTTGCATCTGGGTATCACGAACTTAAACTTCACTCTTTTCATGCCATATGTTTGTCTCGAAGCGCTGGTAGGGCCCAAAAGATAAGGAGACATGTAAAGTGCCCCATAAGGGCTACCTTTTCTTTTTTTTATTATTTACTATGTTTTGACGTTCATAAGTGCCACTTTTGGTCTAAATTGAATAAATATATTTGATTTTGATTTTTGATTTCATAAGAACGAAGAGCGGAGAGAACTATCTTATGCTGGAAGTACACTACGCGGGAAATTAGCCAAGACGCATCTATGTGAACACATACTTGACATGTTTTTTTTGTCGGTATTTTCCGCATAGTGTACTTCCAGCATTAATAGATGCCTGATCACGAACGCTTTTTAAAACTATAGTTACATTATTGGAAGTGTATTCTCAACGGTGTCATTCCCGTCAGGTATTCGACCCGGAGTCGAACCAGTGGCGGCTGTGCGGCGCCATGAACTACCGGCGGCTCGGCGGCGGCGTCGGCGTCATGCGCGCGCCGCACCACGAGAACCATTACATATGGTGAGCCATTTACTTATTTATTTATTCTTATATGTCACATAAATTGATATACACTGGTCATCACAAAAATCGACCCTCCCGCGACAAGCACTTTCAAACGTATGCATCCCCACTTCCCACTAATAATGGCACCATTTAAAAGCCTAGTTCTAAACTTCATTTCATTAAAGGAAAGGTTTTTACCCCAAAAATGTGTCTGTAGAAGAATCCAGAGTCACTTCTTCAAAAAATAGGTAGTTACGCTTGAGCCAACTTTTATGGCTATAAAACTGTTAAGTTGGGATTAATCGCTATCAATCTGTAAAAATTGATCTAATTGATCCCAGAGGTGATCCCAAAATGAGGTCTTTTTTCTAGTCACATTTATTGTATATGTTAATCGTTTAAATCGTTTATTAATAAATTAAATGTGTTTTTCTTTAAGGATATTTATCGGGCTTTCAAATAACACCAATATTGTTGGGGCACCATGATTGTGTCAGTAGAAACGAGTTTTCCTGTAAAACGTATTACGATTAGTACGATTTTTGTGATGACCAGTATAGTTCGCTTCATCCACGAAGACGCGCCCCGCTAATTTTTGGTCGAGGCAAGCGCGGGGTGCGGGGAGTTAGTTCCGAGCAATTTGAGCGTCATTATTGTAGTGTACGTGTGCACTCATGGGTAATTTAGCGTGTACCGATAACACTCAATTAGCGGAAGAATGGTGGGGCGCGTCTTCGTAGATGATACGATCTATACTGACTGATATGAAAGTGAGTATACAGGGTGGAAACGATAAGTGATCTCACTCGATTATTTCTAAACCATACAAGATATCGAAAAACTGGTTCCTGATCCTGAAAGTGCTTTACGAGCTCTTTCAAACGGCACCAATAACAGGTTACAGAATAAACTGGATCTATCCGAAAATTCAATGTTTCCGGCTGAGGTATGGGAGCGGCATTCGTGCTGCTCCCATACCTCAGGCACTCAGTTAAGCACTAATCCAGTACCTAGTTACGTATCGTGATATAGTTTACAAATAATAAAATAACTAGCGACTACTACTGGAGCTACGTTACAATCCAGTGGCCTAATTCACGTATTTTGACGTTCAGAAGTCGTCCCATTTAAAAACAGGTCTGAATCCGTATTCACAAGGGTCATTTTGATAGAACGATTACTCGATAGGATCGCAACTCAGTGTTTTGTTGTCGCTGAAGTTTTGTTACGTGAATAAGGCTACAGTAGTTAGATATCTGACGATGCTTGTGTTTGTTGCAGGAACCGCAAAGACTCGGTGGTGTGAGCCGCCTGTACATTACCCTCCACTCCTAGCAGTTAAGCCGTTACTCATTTACTTTATTGTTAATATTACTATTACATACATACTTGAATATTTATAAATAAATGAAAATACAAATTTTAGAATATATTATGTGACTTTTATTTATTGTACTTATCGATATGTAGACTAGATTATATTTAAATATTTGAGCAATCAAATTATAATATTATACAATATTTAGAATAATATCTTAGTTTTATTATATTTTTACAATATAAATTGCATAACAAGTAGCATAGAAGTATATTAAGTAGATTATTTATATACCTAAGTATTTCAAAGACGATATCTAAATTATGTAGCGTACTCTGGCACTACTGACAGTGCGACGTTTAAATAATTTACATTTACACATTATTTTTGTTCGTTAAAGCTCAAGCCCTATTTTGTTATAATGCGCAGCGAAAACGTTTAATCTTATTTGTCTTCGCGTTAATAAAGATACCATATAGACGCGCCGGCGATTGTACAGAATAGTGTCACAATTAGTACAGCGTTTTACGGTGATTGGGAGTATATCAGCCTGTGACAACTGGTTAGTGGAACAGGAGGCAAATAAAGGTCGGACCGCATTTAGCGCGGTGCAGCGCGGCAGTGCACGGAGCGACACAAAGCGTCAAATTATCCTTTCAGTCATTTTGTATGGAGTATGTCACGTTATAGCGACGCTGCAATGAGTGTCGCTGCGCGTCGTAGCACAGTTGCTTACGAAAGAATATTTGCCGCGCAGTGAAATGCCGCGAAGCGCCGCGCAATGAGAGCTTTTATACTTAACAGTTGGCGATTGACAGGACCTTACTCTACAGCGGCGCCATCTTGATGAGTGCAAATGCGATAGTCCTCCTACCACTTTTGCGCTCACCAGTTGGTGCCACTGTCTTCGCTACTAGCAAGTGACAGGACCTTACTCTACAGTGGCGCATACTGGTGAGCGCTAAAACGATGGCCTTCATTGCGGCCCGACCTTAAAAGGGATGGACTTCAAAGCATGATCGTGCTACATCCGATCTTATGATATTTGAATGTGAAGCAAGGCTCGGGCGGGGCCAATATCCGATCTATAGTGTCTTAATGCGGCGTAGCGGGCGGGGGAGACGTGGCCTTGTCGACGGGCTGCGCGTCGTCGGCGTTGTTCTCGTCGCTGTCGCTGTCGCCGGTGCGCTCCTCCCCGTTCTCCTCGGAGCCCTCGCCCGCCTCGGCCGCCTCCTCCGCGGGCTCAGGCTCGGGCGGGGCTAATATCAGATTTATAAAGCCGGGTCCAGACGAGTGTAACGCGTAATAGAATGTATCATGTAATGTTTTTTTTTATGCATAACAAGGTAGGTATTTGACCACAATCGCACCTGGTGTTAAGTGGGATGCAGTCTAGGATGGTACATAATATTAGCCCTGAAAGTGCCTATTCACTCTCGCCTTGAAAAGGCCCGGATTATAGTCTTCGGGAAAGACAGCTGCAGGAAGCAAATTCCAGTCCCTAGCTGTTCGAATTATAAAAGAGTGATCGAAACGCTTAGTGCGAGCTGGTGGAATTTCGACAACATAGGAATGGTACGCTAATTTGCGTCTCGTTCCCCGGTGATGGAAATAGTATGGGCAGCACTTTACATGTAATGCTCATAGTGCCGTCCACACGTAGAATTCGTGTTACATTACGCTCTGAATTACATTACACATTACACCAGACTGGACCCGGCTTAAAAGGTCTTAATGCGGCGTCGCGGGCGGGGGAGACGTGGCCTTGTCGACGGGCTGCGCGTCGTCGGCGTTGTTCTCGTCGCTGTCGCTGTCGCCGGTGCGCTCCTCCCCGTTCTCCTCGGAGCCCTCGCCCGCCTCGGCCGCCTCCTCCGCGGGCTCAGGCTCGGGCGGGGCTTCGGTGGAGCCGGCTGACTCTTCTTTGTTCTCGTGACGCTTCTGGAAGGAAGAATTTAATGTTTATGGAATTGTTGCAAAATAAAAGACGAAGGACACTTAACAACCCGGAAACGGATTGTAACCTTATCAATGCGAGGTGGTCAATATTCTTTGTTTGAAAATCCGTACTGCAACGCAACTTATCCGCACCGCAACTTAAAAGCCTCGCCTCGCGGTTGACAGCGCGGTGAAAGGCGACACGGTGTTGATCCCTTTCCGGGTTGATAAATGTGCTATAACCTTAAAGTTCATTTGTGGGTGGAGTTAGACGAAGATCTCAATGAATTTTAAATTGGTTTTAAATTCGAGATGTACCTGTAAAGTACATGCATGGAGAAATGAAATCCTGAATGAATTTGCTGTCTGTTTTGAAGAAACAGAATGAAGATTTTTGCCGCCTCGGATGAAGCTCGCTGGCACCTTCGGCCTGATCATCACTTTCCATCAGGTAAGATGTAGGCCAGAAGTTTCCTTGTTGTGAAAACAAAACTTTTCTGTTTCATTCATTCGTTGTTTCATAGTTGTCAAGCAAAGTTTTTTTTTCTTTCATTTGTTGACGTTCTCCGTTAGCCCAGGCTCGGTACTATCATAAGTCATTGCATCAGGTCAGGACACCTTACCTTCTTCTTCTTCTTGGCCTTGCACTTGGGCTTGCGCTCGGGCTCGCTGTAGCCGGGCGGGAAGAAGCGCGCGCACTCGGCCTGCCCCGCCACGCTGTCGCCGCTCACGTGCAGCGGGCCCAGCAGCGCCAGCGCCGCCGGCGGCCCGTCGGGCAGCTCCGTGTCGGGCTCGGCTAGCTCCGGCTCTGGCAGTCCTACTGCGATCATGAGCACGATGGTCTCGCAGCTGGAAGGAGATGAACACGTGATTAATTGGAGAAACTAATGAGTGGTTGTGTCGCTAGCGCCGCCGACGGCCCGTCGGGCAGCTCCGTGTCTGGCTCGGCTAACTCCGGCTCTGGCAGACCCACGGCGATCATGAGCACGATGGTCTCGCAGCTGGAAAGAGATGAGCACGTGATTAACTAATGAGTGGTTGTGTCGCTAGCGCCGCCGGTGCGGTGGCGGGTAGTTCCGTCCCTGGCTCGGCTAGCTCCGGCTCTGGGAGTCCTACTGCGATCATGAGCACGATGGTCTCGCAGCTGAAAGGAAATGAGCACGTGATTAATTGGAGTAACTAATGAGTGGTTGTGTCGCTAGCGCCGCCGGTGGCGGGTAGTTCCGTCCCTGGCTCGGCTAGCTCCGGCTCTGGCAGTCCTACTGCGATCATGAGCACGATGGTCTCGCAGCTGGAAGCAAGGAGATGAATACATGATTGGTTGAAAGAGTAACTAATGAATGGTTGCAGCGTCAGGCTCGGCTAGCTCTGGCTCTGGGAGACCCACGGCGATCATCAGCACTATGGTCTCGCAGCTGCAAGCAAGGAGATGAATACATGATTGGTTGAAAGAGTAACGAATGAATGGTTGCAGCGTCTGGCTCGGCTAGCTCCGGCTCTGAGAGTCCTGCAGCTATCCAGCTATCATGAGCACGATGGTCTCGCAGCTGCAAGGAGATGAGCACGTGATTAATTGGAGTAACTAATGAGTGGTTGTATCGCCAGCGCCACCGGTGGTCCATCGGGCAGCTCCGTGTCTGGCTCGGCTAGCTCCGGCTCTGGCAGTCCTACTGCGATCATCAGCACGATCGTCTCGCAGCTGAAAGCAAGGACATGAATACATGATTGGTTGAAAGAGTAACTAATGAATGGTTGCAGCGTCAAGCTCGGCTAGCTCCGGCTCTGAGAGTCCTATAGCTATCCAGCTGTCATTAGCACGATTGTCTCGCAGCTGCAAGGAGATGAGCACGTGATTAATTGGAGTAACTAATGAGTGGTTGTGTCGCCAGCGCCGCCGGTGGCGGATAGTTCCGTCCCTGGCTCGGCTAGCTCCGGCTCTGGGAGGCCTACAGCTATCATCAGCACGATGGTCTCGCAGCTGGAAGGAAATGAGCACGTGATTGGTGATTAATTGGAGTAACTAATGAGTAGTTGCAGCGTGAGAGTGCCGGGCGAGCCGTCAGGCAGTTCGGTCCCTGATTCTGCCAGCTCTGGCTCTGGTAGTCCTATAGAATTAGCAAGATCGTCTCGCAGCTGGAAAGAGATGTCTTTGATGAGCTTTTGGTCAGAGTAATTAATAAATGGTTACAGCGCCAGCGCCGCCGGTGGTCCATCGGGTAGCTCCGTCCCTGGCTCGGCTAGCTCCGGCTCTGGCAGTCCGACAGCTATCATCAGCACGATGGTCTCGCAGCTGGAAGGAGATGAGCACGTGATTGGTGATTAATTGGAGTAACTAATGAGTGGTTGTATCGCCAGAGCCGCCGGCGGCCCGTCGGGCAGCTCCGTGTCTGGCTCGGCTAGCTCCGGCTCTGGGAGTCCTACCGCTATCATGAGCACGATCGTCTCGCAGCTGCAAGCAAGGAGATGAATACATGATTGGTTGAAAGAGTAACTAAAGAATGGTTGCAGCGTCAGGCTCGGCTAATTCCGACTCTGGGAGGCCTACGGCGATCATCAGCACGATGGTTTCGCAGCTGCAAGGAGATGAGCACGTGATTAATTGGAGTAACTAATGAGTGGTTGTGTCGCCAGCGCCGCCGGTGGCGGGTAGTTCCGTCTCTGGCTCGGCTGGCTCGGGCTCTGGGAGGCCCACGGCAATCATGAGCACGATTGTTTCGCAGCTGAAAGGAAATGAGCACGTGATTGGTCGAAAGGGGCAGGAGGAATGGTTGCAACATTAAAGCGTCGGGTAAGCCGTCCGCCCGGTCCGGCTAGCTCTCGGGATCCTGCAGACCTACAGCTATCATGAGCATCGAGATTCGAGGGCCACACCGGACGATCCACCACGGTCCGATCGTACGTGGTACTCGTACTTACGCACGATCCAATGTGGAGTGCAAGTCGTTAGGTGTGGACCTAGCCAGTGACACGCAAGATCCTAAAGCGACACAAAATCGTTTAAACTTACTAGTCCTTCTCAGTCCTCTCGTCATACTTCTCGATGTTCTTGGCCAGCAGCCGAGGCGCGTTCACATCGGTGTCGGCGAAGAAGCCATATTTGAGTACACGCGGTGCAATATCCGGCGCGCCCGCCGCCGCCAGCACGGCCCGTCGCTGCCACGCGCCGAACATCATGGCGATGTGTGGAGGCTCCGCGGTTGTAGGTGGCTCCACCACTGCGCCTACCATCTGGAATTAAAGGGATATCATCGGTCAATTGAGACACTTTAGGAGCAGTCAAAACGCTGTTCTCCATAGAGATGGTATGAAAATAATCACGATACTTATAAGTTTTTAATATCGTTTGTTTTAGGTGTTAGTTTTAAAATTTTATCACGTTAAATTATTTCAGCTTTCCAGGTGCCTTGCAGCATATGACCTAAATCGTGTTGCGTTTTGGCGCGATCGTGTAACGTGGAAGAATGAACTGATATTTTGAGGTACTTCCTTACCTTAGGGAACAGCAGATCCAATGCAGCGGCTCGTTGGTGCCTGTCTGCAGGTACGAATAGTCCTGGTACGCCGTCTACCCTCAGGTCTTCGTACATTGTTTTTTTCGGCGCGTCGCCTTCTTCTGACCCATCACCACACAGCGCTCGGCGGGTTATTTCTGGAAAAAAGATAAAGGTAAGTGAATGAATAGTGTTTTGTTCAGTCCACACACTAGTAGTAGTGGACAGGGATTCAGGATCTTTTGCTTCCTAGGCAATTGTTCGTCGTGTATTCTTACCGATGATGCTCCCCTCAGTTTCGGGCAGTTTCTTAAGCAGCAGCGACAGCGCGGGACGCTCGGCCAGCGCGGCGAGAGCTGCCGGCAGCTTCAGCTCAGGGTCCTCGACTGCTAGGCGCCTGGCATCGTCCTTGCCGAGGAGAAGGGGGCATTTGTCTGCTACTATTACACCTGGAAGAGGAAAAAGGATTTTGAGTTTGGATACAAGTTATAAAACTGTATATTCGTACCAGATAAAGATGAACACTTAAGCTTCTGCTGAATTTACGGAACTATTGCCACCTCACATTCTCAGCGCTGCAACTCCTGTGTAGTCAGGATGCTTGACGGCCAATAAAAAATCCAACCAGTGAAGGTCAAGTTTGTCCCAGAGGAAAAATAAACTGTCATTGAACCCGCAATGAAATTAATCAGATGAACGTAAGGTAAGGAGTTCGAAGTTAAGGTTGATTATACACCTTCCAAACATTCATTCGAATTAGTGCTCCATTCGTTTCCCTTGCAGAACTCCTGTCGCTTCGCATTTGCAATTTGTTCTTCATCTATGATTTGCTTGTAGACTTACCATTTTGCTCAAGTATGTCCCCGACCTTCCTCAAGCTCTTTTGGACGTGTGGCATGATGAGCAAGGGGCAGATGTCATGGAAGTTCTTCTCCAAGCGTTTAGCGCGCGCTTCCCTCCGTGTGACCCTCGCCTCTAAGGCTGTCTCTTGATATACCGTCCCTTGTCCGTACATCGAAGCATATTAGACTCACCGTTTTGCTCAAGTATGTCCCCGACCTTCCTTAAGCTCTTTTGGGCGTGCGGCATGATGAGCGCGGGGCAGATGTCATCAAAATGCTTCTCCAAGCGTTTAGCGCGCGCTTCTCTCCGCGCGAGTCTTGCTTCCTCTATGGCTGCTTCTTCACGCTTCTTCCTCTCTTCTTGCAGTTTCGCTTGAGCTGTTGCTACTTCCTGGAATATGAAAATATGGATATAGCAGTTGTAGTTTGCATTTAAGTCTGTTTTGGTATTGTTTTTTCTATCACACGAAGGCTACAATTATTGGAGGGTGCTTGAACCAGAGATAACCTTATTCGCTTATTAGTTTGACCTTGTAAAATCTTAGCTGTAATAATGGAGGATTTCGGCATGTTACGGCAATCTTTTATCTGGGGGCACGGCAGTGCCCCCGCCAAGTCGAGCGCGAAGCAAACACTGCCGTACCATCCTTTACTGGAACCATTTCGCCGCATTTTCAGGCCCCTATTTGAGAACCTCTGGATAAGACCAGAACGCAGAAATTTTCGTCATCTAGTAAGCTATAATCACGTACCTACTTAAAATCCAAAATTTCAAGTCTGTTGGTCATTTAGTTCCGAAGTTAAGCGAAAGCAAAGTTTCGCATTTACGACACTCACTCACTGATAATCATCAAAATAGAACTAGTACTTCCCATAAACTCAGAGAGCTGAAATTTGGTACAGAGTTAGGGTTTAATGGCCACATAAAGGGAAAACTATAAAATCGAAGATCTGGAGTAACACCACATTCATAATAAATACTACTCCGGCACCGTGGTATTCGCCTGTATCGCTCACCGCTAGATGGCGCTAGCACTAGCAAGCGGTGTCCAGATTTTTTTCCTTTCTAGAGCCCCTCGTCGATTAAGTTGAATGTTGTGTAATTTGCATTTCGTTTATTATATTGTAAGGTTCGCTAAGGTTATGTTATTAAAACAATTCTGATTCGTTGTCCATTTTAAAGGTCGTTGAGTTTATTTGTGTTTAATATCGTAAAAAATTATTATTTAGGCAGTTAAATACTGCACAGTATTTAGTACACCATTTTCTTTATTTTCTTCCATCATACACAAGAATACGCGTGCGTGAGTCAATGTTCGCTCGTATGTGAGGCCTTGTCGAATAGTATCCTGTAGGTGGGCCATCGTGCGTGTTTTGTTTTCGATGTAAACTCGCGGAGATGAACAGGCCTGGTTGCGGTATCACCACTTAAACTACTACGTCCGGATCTCCTTATCCCGCATGTGTGTTATCTATTTGCTTTCGACAGTCATAATAAGGCAAAATTAGCACACTGTTGGTGATATTTTATTAAATTTATAGAAACCAACAGCGATACATAGAAAATATTAGTTATAACATTTAGGGCTATATTTCACCGGGACACCATGGCGGCGCAACCAGTCGCCGCTACCAACAAAATGTATGCAGCTTTGCGCAACCAAACGGACACCAGGTGAGTAACTCTCTATAGAGCTGTATACATTTTGTTGGTAGCCGGCGACTGGTTGCGCCGCCATGGTGTCCCGGTGAAATCTAGCCCTTAAACTGATAGATAGATTTAGGGCACTTACACACATTCAAAATAGAACTTCCCTTGCCACCACTTGCAGACAACATTTTTTTTTTTTTTGTGATAATGTTCTGCAATCAGTCGCCAGACTATAATCAGATATGTTGAGTGTCATTTTATTGTTAAAGAGCAGCTGGCCTATGCCTAAGCTGTCTTCTTAAATTACGTGGTTTCTTTTTAGCCTTTTAACCACGTTGTCATTCTCCAGTAATCCATAGGCGAGTGGATTGGGGTGATGAGTAAGACGTTCGATGTGCAGTTTCTTGTATCGCTCTATTTCTGCGGCAACGGTTTCAATGTTCAAGTACTCGTGTATTTCATCATTCCTCGTGAACCACGGGGCATTCGCAATATTCCTCAATATGTTGTTCTGCACCCTTTGCAGGCACGCGATATTACTCTTGCTGGCAACTCCCCACAACTGGATACCATATGTCCATATTGGCTTCAGGATGGAATTGTATATCAGAAGTTTATTGTCCAGGGAGAGAACCGAATTCCTGCCCATCATCTAATATAGATTCCTGAATTTGTGGTTAATTTGGTCTCTTTTCATTTTTATGTGGTCCCTCCAAATGAAAGCCGAGGTATTTTACACAGTTGGTCTGAGGCAGAACATTCCTTCCCAGGCAGACGGGGGGACAGTCTCCTCTCCTCAAAGTGAAAGTTATGTGGTTGGATTTCTGCGCACTGGCTTGTATACGCCATTTATGAAGCCAATCTGACGTAGCATTCAGCAGTCTCTGAAGCTTTTCACTTGCTGATATAGGGTCTTTGTCTGCAGCCAAGAAAGCAATATCGTCAGCATATGTAGCAACCGTGACATCATCTGAGGTCGGCAGGTCTGATGTATAAATATTATATAAGACCGGTCCAAGCACCGACCCTTGGGGAACACCGGCGTTAATGGGATACAGGGAAGATCTGGCCTCTCCTAGCTTGACCTGGAATAGTCTGTCAGAGAGATAAGATTCCAGGATGTGAAACACTGAGTGTGGTAATCTTTCCTTGATCTTGCAAAGCAATCCCTTGTGCCAGACTCGATCAAAAGCCTGTTGTACATCTAGAAACGCAGCGGAGCAATATTTTTTACTTTCGAAGCTTTGCCTTGCAGAATTGGGTATTTGACACCATTTCCCAATAATTCTAAACCACAACTTTTTTAAAAAGACACTTCTTTCTGGTCTTAAAAACCTAATTAATTTTTAATTACCTGCAAATTATGATTTTTGGTTGCATTATTATTGAAAAAAGTAGTTTCATTGAGTTGATAAAACTGTGACGTCACATGCTAGTATTGCCGTACAAAATCTATGGGAGAGTGTCGTTTTGGCAGTTTTAAAAAGTACGTCAATTGATTGGTGGTGTCAAATACCCTATTGTATACACGATGAACCTGTTCGATGGTCGAATGTGCCTTTCGGAAGCCAAACTGGTGCCCAGGGACAATATCAAACTCACTTAGAAAAATACTGAGTCTTTTCAGAAATATCCTCTCCCATAGCTTTGAGAGAACTGGGGTTAAGCTTATGGGTCGGTATGACGAGCATTCATGTGGCGGCTTGCCGTCCTTATGTATCATCACAATCTCTGAGACCTTCCACAAACTTGGATAACAGGAGGTTCTGAATGTTGCGTTGAACAAGCAGGTCAGAAAGACAATACATTTTCTTGGCAGTTCCTTAAGAATACGCGGGGTAATCAAATCAAAACCAGGTGCCTTTTTAGGATTCAGTAGTTTGATTTCTCGCGCTATTTCCCTCGGCGATGTGGGTTTGATAGGGAGGCATAGTTGGATATCTTGCTTAAGTATGTCATCCAGGTCAGTCTCGTTGCCATTACCTGCATTTGGTTTAAACACTTGAGCAAGGTGAGTGGCAAAAGCCTCTGCTTTGTCTTTGTCGGTTCGCGCCCAGGATGACGAGCACCTTATGGGGTGGGATGATTGTTGGGGTCTGTTTAGGAGTTTAGTGGCCTTCCACAACGAATGCTCCCCCCGTGCAGATGGTGACATTAGTTCAAGGGTTCTCCTCACACTATTATTTTTATGTTCTTCCAGCTTTGATTTTAAGTCCTTAATAGCTCTATTAAGCATAAGTTTGTCAGAGGGATGGCGCGACACTTGCCAGACTCGTCTCAGACGCCGCTTCTCGGCTATTCTTTTTTTAATTTCAGTAGGCTGCATTGTCATGGAATCTAATGCTTTGTTGGCCAATGGGGTGTTTTTCCATGCTGCTACCTGAATAGCAACCGCAGACAACATAATATTGGTTTGACTATGCATAAGAAAAAAATCAGTCACCTGTGCTTAGCTCTTAAGTTATTACAGAAAATACCATTTACAGGGTAATTCAAATCTTTGTTTTACAGAAAATAGTTAAGACGGCGCAGACCACCTATTTTTAACTGGCCGACTGAAAGTCTGTAGACTGCGGCTAGGTTATGCCCCTTAATTTTGTGCTAAATATAATATTTGTATGACAAGAGTCAGCGTTCAGCAGGTAAATAAATGTCAACAAGAGCTCTTGTTATTATCGAGTTACGACCTGTAGTTATTTAATTTTTAGCGTTAAGAGTCGCATCTTTATGTAGCTCAGTTGGAAGAACAGTCGCCCGGCTTGCGGAAGGTCGTGGGTTCAATTCCCGCCTTAGGCAGTTCGATTTTTTTAAGTATTTACAATTTTCAAAATACCGACCTGTAGATGAGTATGAAGAGGAACCACATGGCCACGGAGCCCCAGATGGCCACGTGCGTGACCCACGTCCACGAGTGAGTCGCCAGTCCCGCCTTCAGGCACACCGTCAGCACCACGTACTGTCAAAATACACATAGAAAGTCAGTATATTGAACTTAACTTCTAATATTATTAGCTCTCAAAATGTTCCAAAATGTTTATAGCTAAATTGACTGTACAGCAGTTACCTGTCGTCGTTTCAGCCATTCCATTACGACTGATCCTGCTTGCCCGCAGGTCGTCAATCCATCTAGTAGGGAGCCTGCCCACACTACGTCTCCAGGCCCGTGGTCGCTACTCGAGAACTATTCTAGTCTACTCCGGCGGCCATCAGCTATACGATGTGCCCCACCCACTGGCATTTGAGTTTGGGAATTCTGGGGGGTACATCGGTCACTTTGATTTTCCTGCGGATCTCCTCATTTCTGACTCGATAGGGCAGAAAAGTTCTCGAGAGCGATCTTCGACTAGGTAGACCGACGATCTGGTGAAAGCCACGGGACGTGCCTGGATGCGGGCAGCGCCGGACCGGTCTTTGTAGAAATCCTTGAGAAAGCCTTTGTCCAGCAGCAGACGTCATTCGGCCGAAACGCTGTTGGTGTCGCGCTCGCACACTCACTGCGGCCGCCCGTCGCACAGTCGCGAGTTCGCGACAGCAGTATTACGCCCGAGCGATAAGGATGGGTAGCTTGGGGTCATTGGACGAAGTTCTATCATCTATCTGCTCGGCGACCAGACTTTATCTATTTACCGTATAGACGATGTTCCCTAGCACGAGGTAGCCGCCGTCGCGGCCGTTGGGCCACAGCGCGGTGGGCGCCATAAGTACGGGCAGCCAGAACAACAGAACCGAGTGTAGGAGAGCGTTGATGGCCCACACCCAGAACACGCGCACGTTGAATAGTAGTCCTTGCTGCGACGGGATGTACAGGATCGGGTGCTGGAACAAGCAGAACTAAATGAGTTTTTATAGTGACTGAATTTGTTGCGGCACTTCTTCTCAGCACTTGCCAAATTTTATTTATTTTATTTATTTATTAGGTCTACCAACATTGTTACATTACAACATGTACACTTAAAAATTACAATTATGAACAAAGTTACAATGCAACAACAATTATAGGCTGACACAACATGCAATATAGATTCAATGCAGTTTGTTCCGAACCGTTCCATGCACACAAAAAAAAAA